CCCTGCTGCCTTTCTATTCCTGCTTCTGTGAGTTTGACTTTTTCAGATTCCGTCCGTAAGTGAGAACATGCAGTATTTGTCTTTCTATGTCTGGCTTATTTCACTTAGCATAATGTCCTCCTTGGAACAAATTTGCATTTTTAAAACAAGTGTTATAGCAAAACTTGCTGTATTGTATATCAGAAATTATGCTAGGTGTTGGAAATTTCATTAACTGATCTGTATGTTTTCCACTTGGCCTTCTGTGATAGAACTTTTCATACTACATTATGATGATTTACTTCTGTGTCTTTTTGATGGACTATATATGTTTCTTTAGGGCCAGTTTCATCTCTCATTCACCTTACTTCCCTGACTGCTACACAGTGTCTGGAATCTAGAAGACAATTATTAAACTCTTGGTGAACTGATTCAAAGAAGGATGAGGTGTGGTCCTTTCTTTTGAGGTGCTGTCAGTCCAGAGCTCTGCTCTTCAACATAGTAGCTGCTCGCCATGATTGGCTATTGAAATTTAGATTAATCAAAATTAAATACGTAAAGAGTTTTTGTTCTTGAGCCTCACTAGTCATATTTTAAAATACTAAGTAACCACATGTGGTAAGTGGCTACCATATTGGCCAGCTCAAAATAGAATATTTCCTTCATTGCCAAAAGTTCTATTGGTCAGTGTTGGTCTAGACTCCAGTGGATGAAGAGTTAATAGCTCCCTAATTATCCAGATTATTCTCAGAAGACCTGGTGATATCCCCCCACCTTCCCAAGAAAATGACAAAAAGACGATCCCACATTGGGGAAAATATTCTTGAAAACATTTCAGACCGAAAATGCTCTTTAGAAAAATCAGATTTTGAAAGTAGGTCGATCTATGTAATAAAATCTACATTATTCCACAAAGGAGTCAATAAGCTATAAAGGAAGTGAATTTTTTTTTTTTAAAGAGACAACACCAGGCAAGACTATACACCAAGTCTCGAGCCTCCCAAATAGCCATTTTTTGCAAAGTAGACTAAAGGGGTGGCAAGATCAGTAGGAGATTTGCCAACTGCCTGGTGCCGAGAAATTATCTTGTAAATTGCCTGAAGAGCACACTTTGGAGTTAAGCACATGGAGGCCATCTGGGACTTGAACTAGAGCAGTTCCAGTGAAGTAGTTGTCTAGGGAGGAGTTGAGAAGTTCTGGAGTGCTTGGTGAAGATTTTTATTTATTATAGTAAACAAAAAATACAGTAACACCCAGGAGACAACCCTATCATCCCCGATTATGCTTTTGAATAGTGCATATGTGTATTCTTCCAGAATTCTGCAAGAAAATTATGGTGAACAGTAGTTAATTCAGTAACATGTGCTTGTGGGTAATCTGTCTTCTTTGTGTTTCTGTGCATTTTTCAAATCTTTTATGATGAATATATATAGCTTTAACGATCAGAAAAAGCAAAAACTATATTAAGTAAGCATATGTGTGTTATTAACTTATGAGTAATTATGTTTAAATAGTGAAATTATGGGTAATATTTTGTTTCTACATATTTTAGTGTATGTTGAAAGATTGCCAATGCATTTTATTATATCTAATATTATGCATATTTTGCTGACTGTCCTTTCCCACATTCTTGATCCCCACTGAATCCCTATGTTTTTTTTTTTAAGATTTTATTTATTTTTTGACAGAGAGAGACACAGCGAGAGAGGGAACACAAGCAGGGGGAGTGGGAGAGAGAGAAGCAGGCTTCCTGCTGAGCAGGGAGCCCGATGCGGGGCTCGATCCCAGGACCCTGGGATCATGACCTGAGCCGAAGGCAGACGCTTAACGACTGAGCCACCCAGGCGCCCCCTGAATCCCTATTTTATTTGATTTTTCCCCCAACTTTACTGAGGTAAAATTGAAAAAATTGTAAGATATTTAAGTTTATCACATGATGATTTGATATAGGTAAACTGTGTGAAAGGTCAATCCCTGTTTTCTAATGTCACTGTTCTCATGCTTGTCATCTACAGGGAGCTAGACTGGGGACAATGCTTTCTGCAGGTGTGGCTGTCAAGGCAGGAGAAACAAGAGGCAGTGTCAGGAGGCAGCCTGGGCCTAACAGAGGTGCTTCCTTGTTTGAGGGGGGGAGAGAGGCCATCCTGAGGCTTTCGATGCTTCTGAGAAGGGTCCAGAAAGCCGAGGGCGTTCATTGCCGTGTCTGCAGAGCCTCTAATGGGCTGGGCACTTAGTAGGTGCTCAACAAGTACCCGTGGAGGTAGAAGGTGCATGAGAAAGGAGATTTAAAAGCCCAGATAGATGGTCTTCAGAGCACAGATGGAGGGGCTGGCCTGTAATGGGAGGAGTGGGGAGGTACACCTCCTTAGCTGTAACGCAAGTCAAGAAGGAGAGAGAGGGCGCAGATACGGGCGGGTCTATAGAGCCTGTGGTAGGAAGATCCTTCTCGAGTGAAGGGGCTGGTGGAGGCATCTGGCATCTGAAGAAAGGGAACAAGATTAGAAGTGGTCATTGCCCTAGGAAGAGGAGCCAAGCTGATGAGAGAAGAGAGGTGAGCGGGGAGGAGGACAGGGCGAGGACCCAGCAAGTTCCCCGGATGCCAGTGGTGGTGGTGGTGCGACCAGCTCTCAGCCCCTCCTTGCCTCGCCGTTGTCCTCCTACCCAACACCATTTCCACCTGTTTTCCTTGCCTGTCTTCCCTCCTTCCTTTATTGTCATGTAAAGAAGATCCAGCCAAAACCAAAGGGGAGAAAAAAGGAAGATTAATTTCAATTGGCGTGATTGGGAAAAGCTAACATTTGATCTGCCTTTTTAAAAACGAGTGGAATTTCAGTGGTGGAAGAGGGCATTTTCAGCCAAAGGCACACTCATGAGGGAGGTCAAGAGAGGACGTAAAAGTACAAATAATGATTATATGGCTGCTGTGTTTCCTTTAGGAGAGCTAAAAGGTCTGGGTCACAGGAGGGATCGAGGGCGGGTCCTGTGTCAGCACCATCATCCCACAGGACTTCGGCTCATTGACCCTGTTCCTTCTTGTGCTGCATGTTCCTTGCTGAATCTTGCCTATTTCATTGTTAACGTCTCTGTCTTATTTCTAAGTACTCCATACCCTGTGCGGCACATAGTACCCGTACCAGAAAGATTAACTACTAGTCGTAGTGCTGTGAATTACCAAACTCTCCCTTCTTGTGCAGCTTGGGGTTACAACCCTCGAGCCCCAGACAGATTAGGCTGCAAAGCAAATAGAAGCCAGATGGTTACCGGGGAGTCTGGACTTTAGTGTAAAGCCGAGGATTGTCGAGTAGGAACAAAATGTGGGCCCCTGGTAAATAGAGCAGCGTAAGGTAGGGTTTGGTTTTTTTTGTCTGTTTTTGTTTTTATATAGAAACACTAAAATTTCATTAAGTGGCATTGAGCCATCATTATACCATATACTTACGATGCGTAGAGATTTATTATACTTGATGAGGTGAAAGTCAATAGTTGGGTACATTTTTAAGTAGTTTCTTTCCGCAGGGACCCAAAGTTTCCAAATCTCTCTTCTGGCAGTCTTCAGTGTGTGGTTCAAAGACCCACGGGGGCCCTGAGGCTGGTAAGATCATCCTTTTCCCACTGGGTATTGGTGTGAGGCTGGGTTTTCTTTATGTGCTTCCACCAAAAGAACACAGTCCAATAGTTACAACACTGAAGATAGATAACGAGCAGCCGTTCATCTTTGATTAAGTCAGACATTAAAGCGATTTGCAAAAGTCTAAAACAATGCCACTGTGTTCACTAAATTTTTGGGAAAATTTAGTTATTTTTCCCAAAAAAAAGTGCTATTTGAGCAAGTAATGGGCTTATGGTGTTACTTTAAAATTAATGGTAACGCTTGGAAGGCAGCTGTCAGATGATGGAGTCTCTGGGGACAGAGGAGCTTCCCCGAGCCTCTGAAAGCTCACCACGTGCCTGCCTTGTCACCTGCTCTGTGACTAAGACTGAAGCTACATGTGTGACTCAAGCAAGGAGAACGAATGACAAGGCAGACATTTGAGAGTGCGAAGGTGCTGAAGCTGGATCTGGAGACTGGGGGCTTCTCCAGGGAGGATGGTTTTTATCATTTGCCGAGTTCGCCATTGCAGCCAGAGCAGGTATCCCAGGAAGAAGAAACACACGCGTCTGCTGGTCTAGAGGGATCTGTGACATGCTGACCAGTGGTAGGAAACGTGGTGGATATTGCAAGTTACCTCCTTTATTTAAGGTTCTGTGTATTCTCTTTCCCCTCCTGAAAGGACCCCTAAGAATCTTCCTCAAAGAGGTGTCAAGGGAAATAATCATTCCCCGGGGGCAAATACTGGGGAGGAAGCAAAACGTCAGTGGGCAGATGCGTTTCCCGGCTCATCGATTCCAAGACCAGCTCTATTTGAAAACGGGGATGGGTTCTTTGCTAAATATTCCCGTTGGGTGAAACAGAGATAAATTTAGCCGAGATGAAAACAGGTGACTTAACGAGACTAAAGGTGTCCGGAAATAAACAGGAAGAGCCTGAGGTTTTCCCATAGGAGCTGAAATCAACCACAGGGAAGTGGTCACATGTCTTCCCGCTCCTACCCACAGGGTTGGTACATAAAGGGCTCCCCCCGCAGAGGGCGGCACCAGACCTCCCTCACCTCCCGAGTCTCCCTCCTCGCTACTCCCTCCTGAGTCCTCTCCTGACACCATGGGCTGCTGTGGCTGTGGCGGTTGTGGTGGTTGCGGCGGTGGCTGCGGCGGTGGTTGCGGTGGTGGCTGCGGCGGCGGCTGCGGTGGCGGTTGCGGCGGCGGCTGCACCACCTGCAGGTGCTACCGGGTGGGCTGTTGCTCCGCCTGCTGCCCCTGCTGCTGCGGCTGCTGTGGGGGCTGCTGCAGTACCCCCGTGGTCTGCTGCTGCCGCCGCTCCTGTCGCTCCTGTGGCTCGTGTGGCTGCGGCTCGTGTGGCTACGGCTCGTGTGGCTGCGGCGGTGGGAAGGGCTGTTGCCAGCAGAAGTGCTGTTGCCAGCAGAAGAGCTGTTGCAAGAAGCAATGTTGCTGCTAGGCGGCCAGCAGCTCAGCCCCTGCCGGGAGCGGGCTGTGGGAGGCCACTCTGCCCTGCGGGTAAGACGGCTTCACCTCATCCACCTACGCCTCTCCCTGGGCCTCTCTGTCACCAGCTTCCCCCCTCATGCTTCCTGGGCCTCAGGCTTTATCCTTCTGAGATCTCCCTCTGCCCACACTTGGCACAAATTTGCCCCATTCGCACAGCGTGAAACAAAGATGCAACCAGAGAGCCGATGGGAAGGCAGCTGGGCAATGCCAAAGTTTACTGGGAATCCTAGGAGTTTATTTGTTCATAATGTTCTATCTTTTATAAATATCTAGGCCTGGCTTTTGGCCATTTGGGAGTTTTCTGCCTGTGTGCAGTCTTTTCTGTTGCTCTGTCTACATCTGCTTGTTTAAATTTCCTAATAAACTGACTTGATGCACGATGACATCTCTCCATTAGTCACATGTTCTATGAGTTTCTCCGTCAACTGCTTGGGCTCCTGCATAGTGAATCCAGCTCTGGTGCTCCTGCAGCCAAAAAAATGAGCCTCAAAGGAAGGGAGAAGGCTAGGGTAGCCCCGACCCTGCGGTGCTGGGTGGTTTCTGGGGAGACTGAGAAGCATTGGCCCTGGTGGGGAGCTTGAGCTCCGTGGAGGGTTCTGGGAGGCTCTTGTTCTTGCTAGCATCCTTGGCTGTGCCTCCGACAACTGTGTCTTTTCTCTCTGCTTCTGTGCAGATTTTGTGCAGCAAACTCTTGGGGCAGGCCCTTGGGGAGGGAAGACGTACCGCTGCCCAGGTGCCGAGTACATGGGATGATTCTCAACAACAGGAGGGGAGCCACACTATGACATCAGGGCCAACCCTTGTGGCCAGCCCAGCTCCAGCAGCAGGGCAGCCGAGGGGTCCTCTCCTTCGGCTTGCACACTGCTCCTGTGTCCATGAAGAAAAGAAAGGATGGGTGGTGAGTTCTCCTGGACTCCCCTCTACACACATGGCTACTTCTATAGCTCACTACAAGCCTTCGAGGTGAGTTGTATTAGACCCATTTCATTGCTGAAGTGACTGAGGTTGAGGCAGTTAAGAAATTCCCTGAAAGAAACACAGCTAAATAAATCCTGATTGAATCCCAGGTTTTCCTGACGCCAAACCCGACAGTCCTTTTCCTATACCAGACTGATTCTCCAAGTTTAGACCAGTTTCCTTGTTCATTTATTACCCCTCTTTTTGGTCTTCCCATGCTCATGCATACATGTGCTGTTATCTGTTCCTCACACTGCCAGGTGGTCCTTGAACGCTGCTTCCTGGGTGAGAGCTACGTTCCAGCAAGTTCCTTCTCAGCACTCGAAAGAATTTCTAGGCTGCACAAGGGCATATTCTCTGCTTATCCAGGTGACAGCTACTTAACTCATTACTAGTGGGATGTAACTGTCTACCAGTGCTTAATGTTGGAAGGAAGAGGGGTCTTCTAGTCTCCGGAAGTGGTCTTGAAGTTGGTGTATTTGTTCTGGGTTCCTTGACAAGTGCTGTGGGAGGTATCCATTTACCAAACTTACATAGGAGTTATGGGGCCGGGGCTGGAAGACTTTAGTTATTTTTTAAGTCCTATTTCTTGTGCCTCTTGAACCCACCTGGAGATGGCATGGGTTCAGCTTAAATCCCATCTTCCCCACTAAACCTCCTCCACTTCTAGGCTAGGAACTTATATCTCTCTGAGCTCCCATAATGCTTCATTGTTTTTTTAGTATCAGATAATGTATTCTGTATCTTACTATTGTTACTTATAAACAGATGATGCTAGATAGATAGATAGGGACTCTCTTAATAAAATTATATATATATATATAATTTTTATAATTATGTATGTAATTTTTAATACATCTATCTATAGAGGTAATTTTTTCTGTTCTGTCCCACTGATGTATCCATCTATTCAGGCTCCAGAATGACTGATGCTCACTGTGCCAGATGCTGGGGCCGGAAGATGCTAAGCAATGGCTCCTGGCCCTGGGGTGCTTACATTCTGATGAGGGAGACAAACAAGTAAATGAGAAATACTGTGTAATGTGATAAGTGCTGTGGCTGAGAGCCCTGAGGTATTAAGGAAATGCATGAAAATCTAACCCAGGTTTTTTTGGGGGTAGGGGGCGGTGCCAAGGTCATAGAAAGCTCATGGAGGAAGTGACACTTAGACCAAGTCAAGAAGGGTTAAGGCAACTGCTGGGAAGAGGGTGTGTCAGGGGACATGGCAGGGATGGGATCTACTTCAGGCAGAGGCAACTATGTGTGCAAAGGTCAGAGGTGAGAGGCAGCATGACCAGTGGGGACAGCCCGAGTGGGGTGTGGCTGCAGAGTTGAGGGTGGGGGTGTCACATGAGGAGATGGGGCCAGATAAGTGAGCAAAGTCCTCACGCAAGTGTGTGGACACTGTGTCCCATACTGTGAAAGATTCTTTGCTCATCTTTGTGGCCTTTCAGAATCTGGCACGTGATTCATGGTGGAGGCCTCCCTCTTGCCATGACTATAATTGAAAATCTGCTCCTTGGGAAATGGGACCTTAGGGACTCTGCATTCATGCTAACCACATGTATCTTCCCTCCTGCCACAGTCTTTAACAGGAAGGAGGTGGAGCCATGTTTGTGTTTGTGGACCATTTAAATACCTAGGCAATACTAAACTGTGTCAGAGGCTTGTAAAGTAAGAAGCAGGATTGGGACTAGGGGAGGCCGAGTCAAGCAAGTACAGCATCCAGCCCTGTCTTTTGGTAAAATTTTGATATTGTTTTCATCATGGACTTTTTGTACCAATTTTGATTTTTTAAAATATTGCATTAAAAAGATCTCAATGACTTGAAGTTTTTGGTGCCACCTTAAATTTTCACCCCAGGCGAGTGCTTCATTCACCCTACATTAGGTCTGGCCCTGGGAAGAAGTATTATGTGGATCCAAATATTCCCCGCTCACCCCACCACTGTTATTTCTATGCAGACATAAACATAGATTTTCTACATGGAATAATATTCATATTCAAATTGTTATTCTCAGACAGTGACTAGGCATCAGTGATCCCAAGGACTTGTAAATAAGTAGGAAAGCCATCCTAATATTAACAACAGTTTTTATCGAGTAGTTCCCAAGCTCTATTTTCGGTGTTTATATGTATTATCACATTTACATTCCACAATAACCCTCTGCTAGAGGTATTATTCTTTTCATCAGGAAACTGAGATAAAGAAGGATCCGGTCATACCCCTGGAAGTGGAGGGAGGAAGCGGGATGATCCCAGACTGCACACTCCACCTCCCCTCCTTCCTCCTGTCTACCTGTTCCCATCTGGTGTCCCATTCAAGACCCAGCTTGAGCTCTGCCTGCTTCATAAAGCTTTCCTATCTTCACTACATAATTGGAATTAATTAGCGCCTCCTTGGAACTCTTGCAAGTCTTAATACTCACTTGGAACTTAAACAACCCATACTTGGAGTCAACTCTTATTTTATTGGACTATTATTTAAATCTTTTTTCCCCTCAATTTACCCAATTATTTCTTCTCATATCTCTGATCAGTTGGAATTACTTAGAAGTACATTTCCTTGCAATACCCATGTGTGGCCTGGCATGTGAAATGGGTTCAACAAATATTTGTTAATGTGGTTTGCTTTGCTCAAGTGTTTATCATTCCAAATAGGACTCTAAGTAGGAAGTTAATTGATAGATGCACTGAATAGTATCCTCTATTTAGAACAGCCGCACCTGGTTATTTTTAACTGGCATGCTTATGCATTTGAACCATGCTTTAGGTAGGAATTTGTGTTACCAACTAATGGGTCACATATTTGAATGCTCTAAGGCTTCCAATGACCTGATTGTACAGGTTGGGAGTTGGGATTGTTGTCTATCCCAACGGGATGGAGCTGAGCTGACAGTCCCATATGGGGGTTAATCTGAATGCAGTCACCCTTTGAATGAGATCTGATCATTGTCCAATGTTATTTCTTCAAATCTCAGTAAAAATTCAAGTGAAGCAAAGAACCCATTAGATGGTATCTGTGTAGGAGTCTAGTTTGGTCTTTGGGTGATTTTAGGGATTCCCACACTCTTTTACAATGGAAGGCATTGTTAATTAATATTTAATTAGATTAATGTTATGGTTTAGGGTCTACAGGTGATCTTGGTGTGCTCTGAGTCCTTATTTCTTTAGTCTCTGACTGTCTTTTCCCAGTTTAACCAATCATTTCCATCATCTCTTTGGCTCTGTGAAGTATCCCTAAAAGACATCCTTTTGCCACATCCACTGACATCTGTTCTTTCCTCTAGGTTAGTGTGCAGAACATTTCTGTCATTTAAGAAGGAAAGAGGAACAGACTACTTTTTAAAAACTATAAGGGTTCTTGTGGCACCTGGATGGCTTAGTTGGTTAAACATCTGACTCCTGATTTTGGCTCAGGTCATGACCTCAGGGTCGTGAGATCGAGCCCCACGTCAGGCTCTGCACTGGGTGTGGAGCCTGCTTAGGATTCTCTCTCTCCCTCTCCCTCTGCCCCTCCTCCCAAAAGCCCCCTCTAAAAAAAAAAAAAAAAGAAGAAGAAGAAAAGAAAAGAAAAAAATGTAAGGGTTCTCCCATCCTTTCACTAACAAAAAATAAGGGAAACACAGTTAAATATTCAGATAAAAACAAATAATCCCATTTCCTTTATAGACAGTAAGTTACTTTAGCTGTTGCTAATCTGTTCCATGCCAGTTCAATTAAGAGTAGAGCCTCTGAATGATGATTTCAACTTCACCATGATTCTGTTAATATCTTATTCATTATTTGAATATCTGGTTTGAAGGACCTTGGAGAGCAAGGGGCACCAGTGAAGAATTTCTCTATACTTTTTCACTTTGACATTCCACAAATACACTTGTAGTACATGTAATATATGCAGAAATTTACATTTTGACCTAACTGTAGGAAAGACTGGTACAAAAACAGGGGGCAATAGCAAGTATGTAGGGAAAAGGGGTAAAGTTGACTAGGTTATTCAGCTAGAAAAAGTAGTTGGAAAGCCATATGGATAACCACAAATATTTATCAATTCTGCATCCATGATGTCATGTACACTTAGGCAGTGACTGTCCCATCTGAACTTCAACTTGACTGGTCTGGAGATTCTGATGTGTCTGGTTAGGTCTCCAGAAATGGTGAAGTGGGCCCACCAGGGGTGTCTTGGAATGAAGACTGAGGGGATTGTTAACGAAAACAAAAGAAAACAGAGTCATTTTAAGTGAGAAGAGTCAGGCAATGGTGTTCAGTTCTATGACGATGACCCAATTACTAGAGGTCTTTTGAGTGGTTCATGTCATGGACCAAGAGCAATTGGATGTCCCTATGGACTTGGGCCTGAGGCATGTGGAAGAAAAGGCAATGAGAAACATTCCCAGTGAGACATGGAGAGTCTGGGGCATGGTACCAGGTGGGGGAGGACATTCTTTCCGTGGCAGCTGAGACGTCAGGGCAGGATGATGTGATTGCAGATGTGGTGGGGAAGGTCGGCACTGGTAGCAACCACAGCACAGGGCAGTGGCTGGTGACAGTGTGGGCTCAGTCATGGTGTGGCTTTGGCTTAGGACCTGCAACCCTTAGGCAGTCCTCGCAACCAGTGGCAGCCACCATGTACCATCGTGGCTTTTCCTGCTTGCAAGACCTCAGAGCTGTATCACCGCCAGCCCTGGGGGACCGGCCAGGGGAGAAAGGGACACTCCACAGAGCTGCTGAGTGTGCTCCGTTCCTGAGCACACTGACACCTCGTGAGGACCCCCAGGATCATGGGTCTTGGGGCAGGAGGACTCTGAAGAGGCTGAGAAGACCTACATGGCACACCATGACCAGCAAAATTCAGTTAATCAGTTAATTGATTGACACATTCAACAATATTTACTGACCACTTACTAAGGGACTACGTAGCCGATGTAGTAAAACACTGTTTGTTACTGTTAATGTGATGGTATTTTCTCTAGTATGATGGGGTCCCTTGGGGATTGTTCTATGCCCTGCTTACCACTTGTTCCTTCCCTCTTTGCTCCCCCCTCTAGCCCACTGAGGTTATCCAGCCATCACTGTTGCAAAAGCCTTTTAACTGGTCCCTGCTTTTGGGGTCTCACCTTCCCAAGTCCTGGTTCTGTGGTCAGTCACCTTCCAGAAACATGAATCCCAGGTCCCACGGATGCCACACGCCCAGTGCTTCTGGAGCAGCTTTCCCTTGCTATCCGGCCGGAAGTAGAGCGTTCCTATGAACACTTTCATAAACCAAAGTGGCGTAAAGCTGAGGAAGCAATTACTGTTAATTTACATGGAAAAATTTTTGAGTGTTCCCAGACCTCTCAGGCTTTTCTGCAACCGTAGGACACAACTTGCTAACAGATGCACACAATCAATGGAGAGAAAGCACAGATGCTCACAGACACAGTTCGAAGCCCTGGCAGCCGGATGCAGGGATGCTGAGGGTGGTTCTAGGGGAAGGGGCTGCACGGGGCCTCTCTCACTGCTCAGGTACCTCGCGCGGCCTCTGGAGCAGCTCTATATTGCGGCTTTTATCATAACAGTGAAAAATCCTCTTCAGATTTCTTCCCATTAGCAAAAACAGGTACTAATATAGGTCTTTCTAAAAGCAAAGTAGCCTAACAGGAACTTTCAGAAAGCAGGGATACCTGTGCCCAAGGATTTCTACCCTTAACTCTACCTGTGTTCCCAGCCCTTCCCCTTGGTCCCAACCCGCAGGTGCCCGCTGCAGGCCTATGGGGGGTGCTGCCTGGATTGCCCCTCACCTGTTCTCATCTCCAGTCCTTACTGAGGCTCTTAGAGGGGAAGGAAGCCCTTCCTATGTAGATGGTTCCTGTCACAGTTTTCCCAAACCGCCTTCTCCCATATAAACTCAGAATCAACTTCTTTCTCATATCTCTAAGAAAGTCAGTTGATCAGGTTATTCTGGTTCTGGTGCCATGTACTGGAATTCTTTTTTTTTTTTTTTTTTGCATGCATTTCTCACCAGACTGAGAGCCTGTGGATTCGTCTCGTGATGCCCTCACAGTGTCCTCAGAGTTACCTCCTCGTAAGAAGGATAATTCAACAACTATTTATTAAATTGCATATGCTGCTCCCCACAAGTTGATATGATGGAAAATATTAATATGCTTTAAAGCAGAAGTTCATGAACCCTTTTAAGCAAGAACAGAGGAATCTTGAAGTTTAGAGAATTGGGAAGAAATGTGTATGAACTGAAGGCATGGAAGAAATGCTTGCTCATTGTTATTTCCCAGGATAGTTATTTAAACACTTTTGTTGTTCTGTCTTGACTCTGGCACAAGAAAGAAGAGCTACCAAAAATTCACAGGACATGAACACATTCCAACAAAAAAAGTATCAACCAGAAGTGAATCGGGTATTTTATACAGAGTTTTTCCTAGAACGGTGGTGACTGAAGCCAGGTAGGTGTGGGCATGATTTAGAGGTCTGTACGAACAAGCCAAAGCGCCAAACCACTCTATTATCTTTCTTTTTCTCTCTCTTTTTAAAAAGATTTCATTTATTTATTTGAGAGAGAGTGAGTGAGCGAGAGAGGGGGAGAGAGCATGAGCAAGGGGGGAGGAGCAGAGGGAGAGGGAGAAGCAGACTCCCCACTGAACAGGGAGCCTGATGCAGGCCTCGATCCCAGGACTCTGGGGTCATGACCTGAGCTGAAGGCAGGCACTTAACTGACTGAGCCACCCAGGTGTCCCTCCGTTATCTTTCTGCTCTGAAAAGTGGGACATAGTTGCATTCACAAAGAAGTAATCTTTAAGACATTTTTTTTTAATCCAACTATAACATACAGTGTTATATTAGTTGCAGGTGTATGGTATAGTGATTCAACAATCCCATACATTACCTAGTGCTCATACTGATGAGTGTACGCTTAACCCCCATCACCTGTTTCCCCATCCCCCCACTCACCTCCCCTCTGGTAACCATTAGTTTGTTCTCTGTATTTAAGAGTCTGTTTTTTTGTTTGTCTCTTTTTTTATTTGTTTGTTTGCTTTGTTTCTTCAATTCCACAGGTGAGTGAAATCGTATGGTATTTGTCTTTCTCTGACTGACTTATTTCACTTAAGCCTTATCCCCTCTAGATCCATCCATGTTGTTGCAAAAGATTTCATCCTTTTTTACGGCTGAGTAATGTTCTATTGTATGTGTATATACCACACCTTCTTTATCCAGTCTATTGATGGACACTTGGGCTACTTCATTGGCTATTATAAACAGTGCTGCGATAAACATAGGGGTGCACATATCTTTTTAAATTAATGTTTTTTATAACTACTTGTGTAAATACCGAGTAGTGGAATTACTGAATCATATGGCAATTCTATTTTTAATTTTTTAAGGAGTGTCCATATTGTTTTCACAGTGGCTGCATCAGCTTGCATTCCCATCAACAGTGCACGAGGATTCCTTTTTCTCCACATCCTTGTCAACACTTATTGTTTCTTGTGGTTTTGATTTTAGCCATTCTTCCAGGTATGAGGTGGTACCTCACTGTAGTTTTATTTGCATTTCTCTGATGATGAGTGATGTTGAGCATCTTTGCATGTGTCTGTTGGCCATCTGTATTTCTTCTTTGGAAAATCGTCTATTCATGTTCTCTGCCCATTTTCTAACTGGATTATTTGCTTTTTTGGGTATTGAGTTGTATAAATTCTTTATATATTTTGGATATTAAGCCCTTATTGGATACATCATTTGCAAATACCTTCTCGCATTCAGTAGGTTGTCTTTTTGTTTTGTTGATGATTTCTTTTGCTGTGCAAAAGATTTTATTTTACTCTAGTCCCAGTGGTTTAATTTTGCTTTTGTTTCCTTTGCCAAAAGAGAAATATCTGGAAAAATATTTCTATGGCTGATATCAAAGAGATTAGTGCCTATGTTTTTTTCTAGGACTTTTATGGTTTCAGGTCTGACATTTAGGTCTTTAATTCATTTTGAGTTTACTTTTGTGTATGGTATAGAAAGTGGTCCAATTTCATTCTTTTGCATGTAACTGTCCAGTTTTCCCAATACTATTTGTTGAAGATAATGTCTTTTTCAAATTGTATATTCTAGCCTCTTTTATTATAGACTAACTGGCCATAAAAGCATGGCTTTATTTCTGGATTCTCTATTCTGTTCTACTGATCTATGTGTTTGTTTTTGTGTCAGTACCATACTGTTTTGAAGTTTATCTTGAAATCTGGGATTGTGATACATGACGATTTGCTCTTTTTTTTCAAGATTGCTTTGGCTATTCAGAGTCTTTTGTGGTTCTGTAGAAATTTTAGGATTATTTGTTCTAGTTCTGTGAAAAATGCTGTTGGTATTTTGATAGGGATTGCATTGAATCTGTTGATTGCTTTGGGTAGTATGAACATTTTAACAATGTTGACTCTTCCAATTCATGAACATGGACTATCTTTCCATTTGCTTGTCATCTTCAGTTTCTTTCACCAAAGTTTTATAGTTTTCAGAGTACAGGTCTTCCTTGGTTAAATTTTAAGACTTCTTTAACAGTAACAATAAAGTAACAGGAAGAGAGCCCTATGTTAAAGACCTGGATTATAACATTATTCCAGACTCCTTCAACTCAGGGTCACGCAGGGGGCTGACAGGACACCTGGGCTTGCCTCATTTGTTCGCCACTTAGACTGTCCTAGGATGGCTGATAAGAGCACTTTCATATTCTACAACAGTCAGTAGAACCTGACCGGCAGACCGTACTGATTGCCTTCCCTATTTACCCTCAACAGGAAGGAGTGATCTGAATAAGAATGACTAATTAGAAGCAACCATTTCAAGTAAGCGTTCCACGGCGGACTGGTCCATGATCACTAGGGATTGAGCAATGTTGGAAATATGCCTTTAGGTTTGTCTTTCTTTTTCTTCTTTAAGATTTTATTTATTTGAGAGAGGGAGAAATCGCAAGAGCAAGAGTGGGGGGAAGGGGCAGAGGGAGAAGGAGAAGCAGACTCCCTGCTGAGCAGGGAGCCTGATGTGGGGCTCGTCGCATGACCCCAGGATCATGACCTGAGCCGAAGGCAGATGCTTAACTGACTGAGCCACCCAGGTGCCCTAGGTCTGTCTTTCTTTTTAAACAGGCTGATGATAGCAGAGGGCTCCTCGAGTTTGGCACATGGCTTGAGAATGTGCTCAGGATGCACTTCTATCTTCTGGCAGAACGCTAAGGGCACTCTGTAATAACCCCTGAAAGCGCTGGGTCCCTTCTCCTCTGAATCAGAGTCTCCTCCTACCTGATGTTACAGGATGAAGAAACACCCAAGGAACTCTGCCTTGGGACGATGAAACAATGTGACCCAGGATCACCTTTTCCTTTGATTCTCAAAATCTTCTCTTCTGCCTAAAGGGATGCTTCACCACTTAGTAAATGCTTATAAATGATGTAGGAATGAAAATATCTTGTCCTGGGCTGATACAACCAAGAAATGTATAAGTACCCAAGGGAAATTCTGACCCATTCAGATGTCTACCAAAAAACCTCCAACCCCGCCCCCCCAAAACAAACAAAAATGGAATTTCATAGTTACTTCCTGTCCTATTTTTAAAATGACCTTAAAAAGACAAGTAAAAGATAAATTTAGCAAAGTTTACAAGTCAGAAGGACCCATTGAGGAAGTGCACAAAAGGCCATGTGAGATTCAGCTGTGGATATTTGCATCAACAACAACAGGGAAGTGGCCTCGAATCCTGGGTCAGTGCTCTCCCCGCAGTGTTGGTACATAAGGGGCTCCCCCCGCAGACGGCGACACGAGACCTCCCTGGCCTCCCGAGTCTCCCTCCTCGCTACTCCCTCCTGAGTCCTCTCTCCTGACACCATGGGCTGCTGTGGCTGCGGTGGCGGCTGCGGTGGTTGCGGCGGTGGCGGCGGTGGCTGTGGCGGTGGCTGCGGCGGCGGCTGCGGCGGCGGCTGCACCACCTGCAGGTGCTACCGGGTGGGCTGTTGCTCGGCCTGCTGCCCCTGCTGCTGCGGCTGCTGTGGGGGCTGCTGCAGTACCCCCGTGGTCTGCTGCTGCCGCCGCTCCTGTCGCTCCTGTGGCTCGTGTGGCTGCGGCTCGTGTGGCTGCGGCGGTGGAAAGAGCTGTTGCCAGCAGAAGTGCTGTTGCCAGCAGAAGAGCTGTTGCAAGAAGCAGTGCTGCTACTAGGCAACCGGCCGGCCTCTGTCCCTGCACAGGAGCTACTGGGCTTTTCTTCCCCTCCATTCACCTGTCCTACCTGTTGTCCTCTGGTATTCTGAGACTTATCCCCTGTGGCTGATTTTGCTCCTGGATTTAGTTTCCTCTTTTATCTGCTTTGAGTATTCCCAGTTTTCCTAACTGAAAAGTTTCCAATCAAATAGGGAACAGCAAAAACAAGGACGTGAAAACTCCTAAAAAAGAGCTGACATCACGCACTCCATGGGACAGGGTCACTTTATTATTCCCTAGATGTATGTGATTATTTCCTTCCCGTGTGTATGCTTTTATATCTGCTCCTTTTTCATCTTGCATTCCTATTTGTCAAGAGCTCTTTTCTAAATTTTCTAGTAAAATAAAAACTTTTATCATTAAGTGTTTCTCTTTGCCTTTATTTTGATTTTATCGTATCCCACCTCCTGGAACATCTAATCTCACTTAAACATCCCTCGGAAGACGGGCAACGATAGCAGAGCAAGGCAAGGACCATGAGAATAGCTTTCTTGCCCCCACTGTCCATGCATTCCAGGTACCAACAGCAACGGGACGCTTAAAAGAATGATTTATCTACATTTTGAATTCTATTTTGAAATGACAGTTTCAGTTATAGAGAAACAAGTCTCCCTAATTCATAAAAAATCCTGTTTTATTCACAAAGAAACAATTCAAACAAATTTTCAGAAATATACCTGCTACCAAAATATGGACGGCTACATTTGCTTCAGGTTGCCATCTAATGGGGCCATTTACTCTTTGCGTCAAGGGCAGAGTTCTGCCCCTACTGTGCAGGCCCTTTCATTTTTTCCCCCTCTAAACTCAGCCAGCAGTGCACATTTAGACTTTTGGTATTATTAGTTTAGCTTTCTATCTCCCTAAATACAAAAAGTAATGCCATCAGGTTGTGCTAAGTGGGTCGGCATTGATGGACATGGGATTTATCTTCATTCTCTTCTGTCTATATTAATTTAACCTCAGTTGGGGTGTTGTTGAGGCTCAAGATTTCTTTTGACTTCATTTCAAATATTTTTTTTCCTTTTTTTAAAGGGGGGAGGGGCAGAGGGAGAGAATCTCAAGCAGACTCCATGCTGAACCTGGAGCCTGATATGGGGCTTGATCTCATGACCCTGAGATCATGACCTGAGTCATGTTGACTGAGTCAAAAGTCAGATGTTTAACTCACTGAGCCACCCAGGTGCCCCTCGGATCTTACTTAATAACTTAAACTGTGAAGTATGTTTCTAAATTTTATTTCCATTTTTTTTCAGACTCATGAGCTTAGAGGGGCTCTGAGTGGTCATCGAATGTGTGTCCTTTTGCCAGACTGTGGTAGTCTATTTTTGATACGAAAACAGTTTTATGAGCAAGATCTGTTTCCTTTACACCTAGAGGAAACCAGAGTTCAGTTAATCCCCCATAACCATCATTCACTTGGAGGATACAAATTGAAATACAAATGACATTTTATGATTCAGGTCATGAGGCGTACTTAGAAGGATTTAAATATTTCAGAAAAGTCGGCTTTCTGTTGACAAATGTTCTCTGAGAAATCCCTAGATATAAAGACAGGTCTAAAGTGCTGAAGCCAGTTCAAAGATGGAGTAGATCCTGCCTTAGAGTGTCTTTGGGTGGGGTGGGTTGTGTATAAAGAATTATAATCCAAGGCCAAGTGTGATGCTTGCTGCAGGTGTTTCCATCAGAGGTGGAGAGAGAGTTCTTGAAAAGATCCAGAGTGGCTTCACAGCACTGAAATCTCATGGCTTTCTTGTTCCCTGTGGACTCTTCCGTTTATGTTCTCTCTGACACTTTTGGTCTATTTTGGACCAGAGCCAGAGAGTGGCAGAGGTTATTGTCACTGCAATATGAAGGTCATCAATTGTTGTCCTTGCATTAACTTTCCTCATCTTTTGCCACAAGGCACACGTTTCTCAGATGGACTAAGTACTGAAAACAGAAAGATGGATCACAATTTAAGGAAAATATTTCTGTAGTTCAATTGAGCTCAGCAAATATTTTCATTTTTCAATCTGATATTTTTCTCACTTTGTTTTCAAATCCTTATAGGCCCTGCCTATAAATTTCCCAATTAGTCAGATAACCTAAATGAAGACCCATATTTTGCAATTAGATTACAGAGAGAAACATTCAAGGACTGAGGCGAGACGCAGGATGTGTGCATGCAGAGTGCCCTTCCCGTGCTTTTCAGCCCGTCACCAAGCCCCCATACGTGGATCCTGTCTGATTTCCTTGTGAATTTTGTGATAGCTTCATGTAGTGGGAATTAGTGTAGACCATGCTCAGGTGGAAGAAGAGAGAGCTGAGTGTGTCAAGGAAAACCAGGGACCACACTGTGTACATGTGCCACGTGTGGATACAACAGCAGCACTTTCTTTCTTTCTTTCTTTCTTTCTTTCTTTCTTTCTTTCTTTCTTTCTTTCTTTCTTTCTTTCTTTCTTTCTTTCTTTCTTTCTTTCTTTCTTTTTCTTTCTTTCTTTTTCTTCTTTTCTTTCTTTCTTTCTTTCTTTTTCTTTCTTTCCTTCTTTTTCTTTTCTTTCTTTCTTTCTTTCTTTCTTTCTTTCTTTCTTTCTTTCTTTCTTTCTTTCTTTCTTTTTCTTTCTTTCTCTTTCTTCCTTCCTTTCTTTCTTTCTTTCTTTCTTTCTTGCTTCCTTCCTTCCTTCCTTCCTTCCTTCCTTCCTCTTTCTTTCTTTCTTTCTTTCGTTCTTTCTTTCTTTCTTTCTTTCTTTCTTTCTTTCTTTCTTTCTCTTTCTTTCTTTTGATTTTATTTATTATTTTTTTTGAGAGAGGGCACAAGCAGGAAGGAGGGGCAGAGGGAGAAGCAGACTCCCCACTGAGCAGGAAGCCCAATGAGGGACTCGATCCCAGGACCCTGGGATCATGACTTGAGCCAAAGGCAGACACTTAACCAACTGAACCACTCAGGTGCCCATGCACGTTTCTTTCATTGAAGCATCAGGGATGACGTGTCACACAGATTCACCTAAGCCACAGCATCTCTTTAAGCTTGTGGCTCAGGATCCCCACAAATACATGTATTGTTGGTACTCATCAGGCATGCCCCAAAGAGTGTATTGGTTTGCCAGGGCTGCCATACTGAAGTACCGAAGACCGGGTGGCTTAACCGACAAGAATTTATTTTCTCACGATTCTGGAGGCTGGAAGTCCAAGATTAAGCCCAAGCTCCTTGGCTCAAAGTCCAAGATGAAAGTGGCAGCAGTTTCAGTTTGCAGCCTTTTTCTTTGGCTTGAAGATGCCTGCCTTCTTGCTCTGTCTTCACGTGGTCTTCCTTCTGTGCATATCTGTGTCCTAATTTTCTCTTCTTATAAGAATACCAGTCATATTTGTTTAGGACCCAACTTGAGGACCTTTAACTTAATTGCCTATTTAAAGAGCCTATCTCCAAACATAGTCTATTCTGAGTTACTGGGAGTTAGGACTTCAACATATGGATTTTGGAGAGATGCAGTTCAGCCCCTAGCAAAAGAGTAACAAAACATAAAAAGTCTTATGCTTTGTCTTTCATTTATGTAGTTTAGCTAGTGACCTATGTTTAATATAATACGGCCTTTTTGCTCTTTTTTTTTTTTGTCAGTAGTCATTACAGATATACACTTACTTTCTTTTCTATATCAAATTGTCACCTAACAAAGAAATTGTGTCTCAGTGTCCCTCATAGGACCCAGCGCAACGTTTGGCAACTAAACGTTCAGTAACTCACTGGTTCACCCTACTGCCTGGGTCCTTCTTTCACCAACTGATGTCAGTACTGAGTAACAACAACTCAGCCCATCCCGACAGCCCCCTTATTCTACCTGTACCACCTGAAAACTAGCTCACGGTCCTTGTGAGCAGGATGGAGAAAGCAGGGGCCTACGACATGTTACATCTTCAGTGCTAGGAGGGCCATGTGTCCCAGAATTCTGCCGATCCACCTTGCTTTGTGGGAAAACTGCCTCAAGGAGTCCTCATGAGGAAAAGCTAGGTAAGATAGATGGATAGGACTCTCCCTGCTGAGAATAGCTATGTGATAGGAGGTGGCTCTCTCTCTCTCTCTCTCTTTTAAAGATTTTATTTATTTATTTATTTGAGAGAGAGAGACAGAGCACAAGTGGGGGGCAGAGCAGAGGGAGAGGGAGAAGCAGACTCCCCTCTGAGCAGGGAGCCCAATACAGGGCTCGATCCCAGGACTCCAGGATCATGACCTGAGCCGAAGCAGATGCTTAACCAACTAAGCCACCCAGGCGCCCCTAGGAGGTGGTTCTAAAGGTGGAGGCTGGCAGGAGAAGTGTGAGTCAGAAAATGGAGCCCATCCGAGAGGCCGAGAATAACTAAGAGGTGCTGAGTAGCCAGAGGGCACTAGAGGCTCAGGACTCTTGGATATGGAAAATGAAACAGAAACAGAGATGGGTATGTGTCAACTTAGAATTTGCAGAAGCTCATCTCAGACCCCCCCCCCCCTTCAAACCTTGTCTTCTGAATTTCAAAGAGGAAGGAAGACTATCTTTTCAGGGGCTCCCTTTGGGGATTTTACTTGACATGGCTACTCAATTCATATTTCCTTTGGTGATTTCATTGCATTTGGTCACTTCGACCTATGTAAGCATCTGTGTTTGTCAGGCTCTGTTTAGAGTGACAAGGAAATACCCCATATAGACTTGTGGTGTTGGAGCAAGAATGTCCTTCTTCTGGAGACAGATCACAGGGGCTTGGCTTCTCTCAGTCCCAGCTTCACCACCAGACCCAGCTGGGAGACCCCCTGTCTCCTTTCTCTCTCAGCTCACTGCTAAACCAACCATGATGGATCAAGAATCTGGAAGCTACACAGAAAAGAGAGGGAGCACTATGGGAAATTAACAGAAGGGGTGTTTGGGAACACATTTTATTGTGTGTGGGGTGTGGACTCCTTCAGACAATGTTGAGGGAGTGGTATGAAAGTTGCCCAGTTTGATTATTTT